TCTTTCTACGACAGACCAACGGACCACGAGTGCCCCTGTCGGTCAACCAATCACGTACCGCGGTACCCCGCGTCATCTTGCGTCAAAATGCGCGATGCCGTAGCCAATTACCTCCGGTACCTGTCTGTACCGCGCACTTTGAATGGCTGCATCTGTATATACAAAGAATGCTCTTAAATGCGTGAGGTGTCACTCAGTATACTGTGTTAGACAATGCAGTATCACAGACAACATCACGTCATGGTTTTTTTTTCAAATAATCTGATGCATGACTGTAGTACTGTGTAAAACTTCCAGGTGACACAGTGAATCCTTAAATTACAGCAGCTGTATGTGGTAGTCAGATTGGTACAATATTAAATGTTTATTAACCCACAACTCCAAATGAGAAACTGTATGTCACGATACTGTATAACTCGAACAGAATTATTATATACATACAGTATATAGAATTATTAGTAATTAGTAAAACTACATGCTGGGAGGAGGCTATTCCTGTTCCGTTATAAATAGATCCTTTAAAAAAAAACTTTAAACTATTTTAGAAATGTAAAATTAATAATTGACACTCAAAATCTAAAAGTATTTTAAATATTTGTCTATTGTTTTTGTTTCCTCATGTCAGAGCAAGTAGTCAAAATATATAATAAAGCTGGAGGGGGTTCTACAAGACAGCATGATTGAAAGGCTTGTTTTAACTTTCAGATTCACAAGTCTTTAAATCGTTTAACAGTATGAGGTAGGGCTGGGCAATATGACCTCAAATCAATATCACCATCATTTCACACATTTACCTCGATAATAATAAATTAGCGATAATATTTTTAAATTATATGTTTACATTATAAGCTGAAAGATCATGTTTTAATTATGCAAAACTATTTAAGCTGCACACACCTCATCTTATCTCAATGTCTTACAAATAATTTAAGACGTACAGATGCAGCCATTCAAAATGCGCGGTAAAAACCCGCGGTACGGTAACCTACCCACAAGCCACCGCGGGGCACCGGAGGGTACCGCAGG